GGGTATGCAAATTTGCACAAGCAATTAAGGTTCAAGTCGAGTATTACGATCTCTCGGTTTAACCCTTTAATTGGGGCTATCAATTCTCTTGAGTACACCGCAATTCCTTGTTGGACTAATTTTAGAGACTTAGGCTCTCTTTCTCAAGAAGAGCAAAAGTCAACTAAACACAAACTAGTGTTTGCAACCACTAATTTAGCAATAAAATATGAAATTAGCCCAAATATCAAACACCCATAGTCAATCAAGCCCTAAAATACAAGACCCATCAATTAGCCACACTAGGGTTGAGCCACAACCCTAGTTGATGGGTCTAGCTACTCATAATTAGAGACAAAAACAAAGAAATAGATGAAGAAGAACTCATATTAATTAATTGCTAAATTAAACTTGAAGATTCAATGTTGAAATGAAGCTAAAATTACTCAAAATAGCTAAAATATTCGAACCCACGAGCGCAGCTTTCAGTACTAACTATCTGCTTATCCTAAAAATGGAAAAGAAGCTATTTATATTAAGCTGACAAATCTGGACAAAAATACCCCCGCGGGGTTAGTGCGGACCGCACAAAATCACGTGCGGCCGCACTAGGGCTCTGACTTGACAAAACTGCTCTCTGAACTTGGGCAATGCGGACCGCACAGAATCGAGTGCGGCCGCGGTGGCTTCTAGTGCGGTCCGCATGAAATGGAGCGCGGACCGCATTGGTCTTCAAACCTGGATTTGGCAACTCTCTGAATCTTCTTTCTGCGGACCGCACTAAATCGAGTGCGGCCGCATTGATCCTAGTGCGGACCGCACAAAACTTCGTGCGGCCACATTGCCTTTTAGCCTGAATGTCAGCCTCTCTGAACCTCACTTGTGCGGACCGCACAGAATGACGTGCAGCCGCACTGGCCCTGTTTTGCCTGAGCTTTGTCTTTGTCTTGGTACTTGTGCAAGTTTCACTCCTTTTTTGAGCTGATCTTTGACACCTTGTCACCTTGTTGATCAAACCTGCAATCAAGCACAACTTGTGAGCTTTTTGGGACAATTTTGTACACATTTCTAATCAAAACTTGAGCATGAAGGAGTGTAAAATGCATCATATTTCCTAGTTATCAAGGTGTTCCATGATCAGCACGAGGTAAGCGATTTCTACTAGTTGTGAGTCACATACAAGGTTTATATTTCGATTTAGACTTGAAAATTGGTATAAATTTGGGATTTTGGAGAAAAACATAGAAATTTAGATTTTTGGATTTTGACCACGAATTTGGGCATGGAATTGAGAACAAATCATATATTTGAGTTCATGATGTTATGGGTGGTGTTTATCTTTGAAAACATCCGTAATCAGGGCACGTGGGCCGGGGGGTTAATTTTATGAATTCTTTAAATTGGGTTGGGAATTCACTTTAATATTTAGGATGTGAAATCTTGAGCATGTATTGACTATTTTATGTAACATTTGACTAGCTTCGGGACGTTTGGCATCGAGTTGAGGATTGAAAGCACAATTTTGGACCGGAAAGTGAGCTTTGAGATGAGGTAAGTCTTCTGTCTAACTTTGTGATGGGTAAATTACCCCTAGGTGTTGTATATTGATGTGTGTTACTTGTTGTGGGGGCTACGTACGCGCGAGGTGACAAGAGCCCGTATGTAGCTATATTTATGTTATTGTCCGGGTAGGTTTAGGTTCACATCATGCTATTGCTGTACTATTTGAACAGTCTCTTGCCTATTAAATTCCATTGTTTTATATTTCTATTTGAGACTAGACTTGCTATTGAAGAGGCTTCACGAGTTCTTGATTTGTCACAGAATAGTTTACTCCTCTTACGGCATGTCTCCATGATATATATGTTTCATTGAAAGGTTTTTGTTAAAGAAATTACTACTCACACGTTTATTCGTGGGTGGGGTCAAGGACCCGTCAAAGCTTCTTATTCTAATGGGATCGGGCCATTCGCCTTGGCAGGATTACGTATTTCACATCTTATGGGATCGGGTCGTTCGCCTTAGCAGGATTTATGTACCACACTCTCATGGGAACGGGCCGTTCACCTCGGCAGGTTAATAGATGAATCTATGGTTCGCGCCGTTCAACTCTCAACAATGCACATTTTAATTATTATGTTGGATCGGGCCGTACGCCTCGGCATTTCCTACATCATATCCTCATGAAATCGTGCGTAATATGTGGCAAGAAGCCAGTGTATCTGTGAGTTTTCCGGATTTGAATTATGGCAATCTATTTGATGAGATTCACTATATCTATATATATGCTCTGGTTAACGAGGGAATTTCTAATGGAGAACTTGAGTTCCTCGTAAAGAGGGGAATTTGTACCACTTAATCTATACTTGTTTATTTCATTTATTTACCCTGTCTCATACTTACTCACCTCTTTTCTGTACCTGTTATTAGACCACTAGTGAGTGTCGATGTCGATCCTTCGTCACTACTCCTCCGGGTTTAGGCTAGATACTTACTGAGTACACGTTGATTTACGTACCCTTACTACACCTGCTGCACATTTTTGTGCAGGTACATATATGACTAGTGGCCTTGTGAGAGCATGGGCGTGTATGCACACGAGGACTCAGGTGAGCTGCATTCCATATTATGACCCGCATTCAGCAGAGTCTCTCTCAAAGTATTTATATTTTTCCTGTCCAATTTGTATTCCGGACAGATGCTATATTGTATTTTATATTCCTAGTTGATGCTCATGCACATGTGACACCGGGTTTTGGGGCGATAATGGGTTGCACTGTATTGAAATTGTTGTAAAATGTTATTATTTACTCTGAAAATTCCATCTTTTACTGTTTAATTGAAGGAAAAAAAATATGATTTCTAAAATATTAAAATAAGCACTAAAATGAAGTATTTATTATTGGCTTGCTTGACAGTGATGTCTAGCGCCATCACGACCTTTAATGGCTTTTGGGTCGTGATAATATGTCATTGCTTCAGCTTACCGAGGTAAGAAGCACGATAGGAAGGTGTGGAGGTCGGGGATTAGGGTTGTACTTGGCTGCTTTATCTTATCTCCACTGTTTTCTGAGCAAAGGGCCTATCGGAAACAGTCTCTTTATCTCTATAAGGTAGGGGTAAGTTCTACACACACACTACCCTCCCAAGCCCCATTTATGGAATTACAGTGGGTGTTGTTGTCGTTGAAGGGCAAGATGAGAGAAAAAAGCAAGGTAATGATTCCATCACGCAAAATACGTCGTTTCATAAAGTGGCAGTTTTTTTTAGGCTAGGAGCCCGTTTGGACATAAGAATTTTTTTACTTTTATTCGAGTTTTTTTATTTTTTTTCGAAATTAATGTTTGGTCACAAAATTTTGAAAATGAATTTTAGAATTTTTCGAAAATTTGAAAAACTCCTGCTTTTCAAAATTTTCACTCAGATCATTTATAAAAATTGAAAAACAACCCAAAATTATATTCATGTCCTAACACAACTCTAAGAGCCCGTTTGGACATAAGATTTTTGTCACTTTTCTTTCGAAATTTTTTCACTCTTTTTCGAAATCAGTGTTTGACCATAAAATTTCCAATTTTCACTTGAAGATGAATTTTGAAAATTTTTGAAAATTTAAAAAACTCCAAAAAGCTGTTTTTCAAAATTTTCACTCAGATCACGCACAAAAGTTCAAGAACAACCCAAAATTTTATTGATGTCCAAACACAACTCTAATTTTCAAATACCAATTTTACTTGATTTTTTTTTACTTTTTACATTTTTTATGTCCAAACGCCCATTAGGATTTTGCTCAAAAGCTTTTCTTATTTTTAATGACCGAGATATCGGAAGCATTGGAATACTAGTTTTGCTAAAATATTTTTCTACTGAAAAACAAAAAATACAGACTAAAAAAGGAAGAAAAAAAGGAAAGAAAATAGTTGCTTTTTGTGGCGGTGGTATTTAGGCGGGAACCCAAGTAAAGTAAAAAATTAAAAAACAAAATCAAAAATCGTAACCGTTCCTTTTTCGATCTTCTCCAACTCGGTACTCCAATTCCTCTGATTCTGTTCTATTGTTCTTTGTACTCTACAAACCCTAAAAGAAAAAACCCTAAATCCATTCATGGACTATGATTCGCTCTCAGATGAATAGAAAAAGTCGCTCGTGCTTAATGCACCGGCCATTAACAACGTATATTGCCTGCTTTGTGACAAGAGATTCGACAAATATCTCACCCCAAAAACACGCACAAGTGTTTTGCATGCTATAATCGAGAGAAAACTGATTCAGATCTTGAGAAGCATAAAAAAAATTTTAAGCATTAACAGTGAGTATATGAATCCTTTTTTGTATCGCAATGGCAATTTTACATCCTCTAGGACTTCTTCGTAATCCATTGTAAAGAATAGCAGAAGAAGAGTATTATTTGGAAACCTTCTGCTAGCCCAAGATCGTTAAATAATATTGGAGGACTCAACTAAAGAAGAGGAAGCTTGATAAAGAGAAGAAAAGTTTTGGAGAGGAGAACTTTGTTTAGGAAAGAAGGCTTTCTTGATTTTGGCTTGGTTACAAATGAACAAGACACCCCCTATTTATACTAGCTTATGGATGATTCTAGATATGATTTTGGATAATGTACAAAGAAGATTCTAGCCACCTTATCTTCTAACAACACTCTAGAATATCTAGACATGTCTTATCTTCCCACAATATTCTAGAACATCTAGATATGTCTAATAGATAAATATCAAGGATACTATACTAGGACATTCTAGAGGATTCTATATTTTTCCAAAAAATCAACTTTATTTTTTTCACACTCCCCCTTAAAGTGAATTTTTGGAAACTACTCCAAGCTTGTCACGGAAGAATTCGAACGAAGCTTTAGCAAGTGACTTGGTAAAGATATTCTCCTGACTTCGCACTTCCAAAGTATTGACAGTTCCATCAAGAACCTTTTCTCGAATAAAGTGATGTTCCACCTCAGTGTGTTTAGTTCTTGCATGGAATACTGGATTGTTTGCAAGCTTGATGGCACTTTAATTATCTCCATAGATCATAGTTGTCTTTGATATAGGTAGGTGCAAGTCTTCAGCAAGTCTTTGTAGCCATACACATTCTTGAGTAGTAAGAGCAGCTGCTTTATACTCCGCCTCCGTTGTTGACAAGGAAACTGAGTCTTGCTTCTTGCTACACCAAGAAACACTTGTTCCACCACAGAGAAATATATAGCCCGATGTAGATCTTCGGTCATCCAAATCACCACCAAAATCAGCATCCGTATAACCAGCTAACACCAAATCATTCTTCTTTTGGAAGAGCAAGCCCATGTCTGATGTTGAGTTGATATATTTCAGAATCCTCTTTGCAGCTTCTAAGTGAGGCTTTCTTGGCCTTTGCATAAATTTGCTTACATATCCTACTGAGAAGGCAATGTCCGGCCTTGTAATAGTCAAATATAGGAGACTTCCAACAAGAGCCCGAAAAGGATTAGGATCTGCAAGAAGTGAGCCTTCGTCCCGCCTTAACCTTGTACTTATCTCAAGAGGAGTAGAACATGTTTTGCTTTGCTTCAATCCAAACCTGTCAACAAGTTTCTTGGCATATCCTTCTTGAGTGACAAAGATACCTTTGTTCATGTTTGTCACCTCTAAGCCAAGAAAATGGTGTAGCTCTCCCAATTTTTGATGTTAAATCTTATGGAAAGCTCATCTTAAAGTCTAGCAACTTCATCTTCATTGTTTCCTGTTATTATCATATCATCCACGTACAAAAGAACAACCATATGCAAGTCTCCTTGTTTTTTAACAAATAAGCTAGGATCTGATTGTGATGCACCATAGCCACAGAAATGTAGATACTGAGCAATTTTTCCATACCATGCTCGTGGAGCTTGCTTGAGGCCATAAAAGGCCTTCTTAAGTTTGCAAACATAATCAGGATATAAGTTAGAGACATACCCAGGTAGTTGCTCCATATAGATATCTTTGTCAAGATCTCCATATAAGAAAGCATTCTTCACATCAAGTTGCCATAACTTCCAATTACGCGAGGCTGCCAAGGCTAGCACAACTCAGACAGAGATCATTTTAGCCACCACACTGAAGGTTTCTTCATAATCTTCATCGTACTTTTGAGAAAATCTGCAATGACCCGGCCGGTCATTTTCTTGGAATTTACGCCCCGATCCCCTATTAACTGCTTCCCCCGAGTCTATTTATGCTATTTTGATTTGCCAGAATATTCGGTTTTGAGTTTCAGAGAGTTTTGGGACACTTAGTCCCTAAATTAGAGCTTAAGTGTTGAAAAGTTGTTAGTCAGAACAGTATGAAGACGACCTCGGAATGGAAATCCGATGGTTTCGTTAGCTCCGTTAGGTGATTTCGGGTTTAGGGGCGTGGTCGGACTGTGTTTTGGAGGTCCGTAGCTAATTTAGGCTTGAAATGCCCAAAGGTCGAATTTTGAAGTTTCCGGTTCGATAGTGAGATTTTGATCCGAGGGTCGGAATGGAATTTCGAGAGTTGCAGTAGTTCCGTTATGTCATTTGGGAAGTGTGTGCAAAATTTCAGGTCATTCGGACAAGGTTTGATAGACTTTTTGATCGAAAGCGTATTTTGAAAAATTTAGAGTTCTTAGGCTTGAGTCCATGGTTAATTTGAGGTTTCGATGTTGTTTTAGGTGTTTTAAGGATTGGTACAAGTTTGGGGAGTGGTATTAGACTTGTTGGTGCCTTTTGTTGAGGTCCCGGGGGCCTCGGGATGAATTCGGATGGTTGACGGGGAGTTTTGAGAAATGTTGCAGCTGCTGTATTTATGCTGCTTTTGGTATTTTCGCATTTGCGGTTTGGGAACCGCAGATGCGGCGCCGCAGAAGCAGCTAAGAAGACTGCAGAAGCGGATTTTTCGGTTCTCCTTCAGGTTCCGCAGATGCGGAAGGAATACCGCAGAAGCGGTGGCGCATCTGCGGAAGGGCAATCGCAGATGTGGCTTCACACCATTTAATGAAAGTCGCGGATGCGATGTAAATTCCGCAGAAGCGCGACCGCAGATGCGGTCCCAGGGCCCGCAAATGCGGAAATCGCTGGGTAAAACATAAATACTTGCCTTCGCGAAATTTAGTCATTTTTCACCTCTTTTCAAACAGGAAGAAGCTTTTGGAGCATTTTTCAAGAGGGATTTTCAGAGGAGTCCATTGGGGTAAGGTCCTTGGTCCCAAAACTCGTTATTATAGTGATTTTTATCATTCTAAGCATGAAAAATTTAGGAAAATCAGTGGTAATTGTGGGATTTAGGGCTTGAGATTAAGAGACTTTGAAATGAGAATTTGAGAGGTCATTTCGGCTTCGATTTCAGTGTTCTTGGTATGTATGAACTCGTGAGAGTATGAGGATTCCAAAAATGTAAATTTTACCTGATTCCGAGATGTGGTCCTGAGGGGCGTTTTGGTCATTTTACCTAATTTCGCGTCTTAGCTTAGAATTTAATTATAGAATCAGTTATTTGAAGTATTATTTACATTATGAAATTGAATTGAATAGATTTGGGCCATTTGGAGTCGGATACTCGTGGGAAAGGCATGGTTTTGGGTTGACTTGCACTTGTTCGAGGTAAGTGGCTTGTCTAACCTTGTGTGGGGGACCTTTCCCCTTAGGATTTATATCGTGGTAATTGAGATGCCTCGTACGTGAGGTGACAAGCGCGTACTTGAGCTAATTGTTGAAAATTCGATTTTTCTTTAAGTATTTAAATTGAGTTCCTTCTCCTGTATTCATTATACTTGCGTATTTAGCCTGTTGTTAATTTAGAAAAGCATGTTTAGTTGACTTAATTGCCTATTTGCTTTAATTGCCTTAATTGCCTTACGTGAAGCATGTTAGGCTAGACTTATCTGTTTACTTAGTACGAAATTTAGCATTTATTGAGTATTCTTGTGTTGCTGTTGTGTGTTTTAATTTGGGACTACGGGACGGCATCCCGGGAGATCCCCTGTAAGTACTTATGATCTGGACTGAGGTGCGGGATACCAAGAGATCTCTGGCACGTATATTGAGGATACCAAGAGATCCACGGGATACCAAGAGATCCCTAGTATATTTGAGGATACCAAGAGATCCACGGGATACCAAGAGATCCCTAGTATATTTTTAAGGATACCAAGAGATCCTCGGGATACCAAGAGATCTCCGGTTATCATCCTTGCTATGAGTGGTAGTTCCTTGTGGTTTGCTTTTACCTCTGTTTTCCGTTATTGTACTTCTATTATCCTGTATAGGCTCTTACTGTAGATTCTCAATTGCACTGCTTATCTTATCCTATCACTTTAATATTATTTAATCTCAGTAGAGCCCTGACCTTCCCCGTCACTATCCAACCGAGGTTAGGCTTGGCACTTACTGAGTACAGCTGTGGTGTACTCATGCCCTTCCTGCGCATGTTTTTCATGTGCAGATCCAGGTACCTCTACTCAGGCTTACCACTCTTGAGGCGAGGTGATTCTATAGGACTTCGAGGTATATCTGCCGCGTCCGCAGACTGAGGAGTCTCTTTCTATTCCTGCTGTTTAGTATTAGCCCTTTTGTATTTCAGTACTTGTTAGACATTTTGGAGTTAGAGCTATGTAGTACTTCTTAGCTTGTGATTCATGGGTTTCCGGGTCTTGGATTTATGTATTGGTTTTTGATAATTAAATATGGTGTATGCCGAGCGGCACATTCTACCACTGTTTATTTTCCTCATTTCTGTTTTAAGTTGTTTATTTCTGCAAAATTTTGGTTTCTTTTCCGCAATTTAGGCTTACCTATTTGTAGAGACTAGGTGTCGTCACGATGGTTCACGGAGGGAGAACCGGGTTCGTGACAAGATGGTATTAGAGCTCTAGGTTCATAGGAGTCATGGATCACAAGCCAGTTTATTAGAGTCTCGCTGATCGGTACGGAGACGTCTGTACTTATCTACGAGAGGCTATGTAACTGTTAGGAAAAATTTCACTTCATTTGAGTTCCTTGTCGTGCGAGATTTTTTGATACCCAAATTCTAAACTTCTGTCTTTCTATTCTCTCACAGATGGTGAGGACATGTGCTACTCGAGATGACCAGGCACCCGCGCCCCCTACTGGAGCCGTCAGAGGCCGGGGCCGGGGTAGAGGCCGAGGACGCGCTCGTGGTGCAGCTAGAGCACCCGCACGAGCTGCCGCTGAGGTACCACCAGCAGTACCAGCCGGAGTCCAGACACCTGATACGTCTTCCACTACTACTCCAGCACTCCAGGAGACTTTGGCACAATTTATGAGCATGTACACTACTTTGGCTCAGGCAGGGTTGCTTCCCCTTGCTGCAACCACATCCTAGGCCGGGGGAGGAGCACAGACTCCCGCCGCCCGCACTCGTGAGCAGCGACTGCATGTTGATCAGGTCCCAGAGGTTATTCCTGCGCCGCCTGCAGTGCCAGTTCAGCCCGAGGACAGGGCAGCGGCTTCAGAGGATGAGCAACGGAGACTTGAGAGGTTCAAGAAATATGATCCTCCTGTATTCAGTGAGTTAGCATCAGAGGATGCCTTGGGATTTCTGGAGGAATGCTACCGTATTCTCCGTACTATGGGCATATCAGGATCGAGAGGGGTTTCCTTCACTACTTTCCAGCTTCGAGGAGCCGCCTATCAGTAGTGGCGCGCTTATGAGTTAGACAGTCCTGATGAGGCAGCTTCCCTGACTTGGGCTCAGTTTTTAGATATGTTCACGAGGGAGTATGTCCCTAGAGTCTTAGGGACGCCTGGCGCGCAGAGTTTGAGCATTTGCGCTAGGGTACTATGACTGTCTCGGAGTATGTTGTCCGTTACATCGACTTGGCTAGACATGCACCAGCTTTGGTTTCTACAGTTCGCGAGAAGGTTCGCCGATTCATTGAGGGGCTTATTCCCAGCATCAGATCTAGCATGGCTCGTGAGTTAGAGATGGATATATCTTATCAGCAAGTGGTGAGCATTGCTAGAAGGATTGAGGGTATGCATGCTAGGGACAGAGAGGAGAGGGAGGCCAAGAGGTCTCGATAGTCGGGCCATTATTCTAGTGCCTGTGCCCCAGTTGCAGGTCGTCATGGTAGGGGTCATATGGGTTGTCCCGTTCATTCAGCTCTTCCAGCAGCCAGTGGTATTCCAGCTCCACCTAGGCCTCAGGAGCCTTATTATGCACCTCCAGTCTCTAGTGTGCCTCCTGCACGGGGTGCTTCCAATGGTCAATCTAGCAGACCTGACCCGAGCCAGTCACAGCCGCCACGTCCTCCCAGAGCTTTTTTTGAGTGTGGTGACACACGCCATATGGTGAGGGATTGCCCCAGACTTGGGAGGGATGCACCCCCACAGACCCCTCAGCGGCAGCGCACCCCGCAGAGCTCTCAAGCTATGGTCCCAGCACCAGTTGCTACTCCACCGGCCCAGCTAGCTAGAGGTGGAGGTCGGGGAGGTAGAGGTCGCCCTCGAGGGGGAGGCCTGGCCAGATATTATGCTCTTCCAGCCCGTACCGAGGTTGTCGCTCCAATTCTGTCATCACATGTACTATCTTGGTCTGTCACAGAGATGCATCGATTCTATTCGATCCAGGCTCCACTTACTCTTATGTGTCTTCTTATTTTGCCCCACATTTGG